GGCTCAGGTGATCCTTCTGCCTCAGCCTTCCAAGTAGCTGGAAATACAGGCAAAAGCCACCATGCCAGGCTAATTTTTTGATTTATTGTAGAGATGAAGTCTCATGAAGTTGCCTGAACTGGTCTCGAACCCGTGGGCTCAGGCAATCCTCCCACTTCGGCCTTCCAAAGTGCTGGGATTATAGGCGTGAGCCACTGCGCCGGGCCAAAAGCATTCACTTTCTAACAAAGCAGGTGCTAGAGTGAGCACATGAGAATGGGATCCTCTGGTTATTAAATCTGCCTCATCTAGAAGTTATCATTTTGATAGAGGGACAGAACTGCCTTTTGAAGATCCAGCTGAAGTGACAGTTCAGAAGACATATTTTAAAGGATAGAGGGCCATCTTGCAGGACACAATGTATACTCTAAATCAACAAATTTATATAAATCCAGGAACTAAGCAGTGGAAATCAAGGGATTTGTGTTTCCTATCCCCTAACTGAGTTCTGTGGATTTAAAGTTCTGTAGTTCACCAAAAGGAAATACTTCTGAGAACACAGAAAGAGCCTCATTAATCAAAAGATGTCACTGCCACCTAAACACTTTTGATCTCATCAACACAAAAACGAGAAGGCATGAAGAAAAGTTGCCTTCTTGGCAGGGCTGATACTCAGGTGACACACTCATGGTAAACAAGCTGAGAATGGCATGGTGGCCAGAACTTTTGGATGATGAATTATGTTATCCAAGTAAGAAACTGAAACCAGAATAAGTGCTATGGACAGTCAGAGATAACCAGATTGGACAGTCGTATAGTAAACCTCTGAAGGTTTGCTGAAAATTAATTTGTAAAAGACAAATTAACAGGAGAAATGGTATATATATTTATTAGCATATAAAGGAGAAAATTATAGAATGATTGTCTGATATTTCCATGGGGTAAAGTTGATTACGTATCTTATTTTTTAGGGGAAAAGAAGATGGGGAAGAGTAGGTGATTTTGAAGAGGTAGTACATGATTTGGGGGAGGAATTTAATGGGCTTGAAGAATGTACAAATGACCTGGAACAAAGTAGCTTTGGTCTGCAAAGCAGACAATGACTTGTGACAAGAGTTTGTCCAGGTGCGTTGACAGACTTCAGTCCTTCTTTCTGTGATCTGAATTTAGTTAATGAAAATTCAGAGAAGGGATCAGAAGTAATTGTTTTTTGTTTTTGTTGGGTCTGAACTCAAGGCAGATAAGGAATCTTCAGAGAACTTTACCTGTGCTTCGGGAGAGAGAGAACTGACACAGGGGAACGAGGAAGATCAGAGAGTCTTTGAGAGTCTTCTCCTTCAGTTCAGTATGTCAAAGTGCCACATCTTGGGCTGTTGGTTTCTTAGTCCCAACATAGAAAAGGAAGACCATGAGTGTTGAGTGTGTTGCCAAGACCAGCTGCAGTGTTGTAGTCAGTGCCTTTAGTCCTTCCCACTAGTGTTCCTTTTCTGACAATTTCTATTTCACCCAATTATCATCACAAAATAAATAATAAGTTATGGTGCATTTTAATTGTACTTGCATTATAACATATATTGCTAATAGAACAAACTTCAGTTCTGATTAAATGTGGATGAGCATTGAAAGCGTCCCCTAGGTTTAGCTGATCTGGTGATTGGAAGAATTTTCCAAAGACCAACTCCATATATTTGTAGACTGGCATCTCCTACACTCCATACTTACTTTTGGTGCCAAGTGACACTAGGGTATCAGGACCTAGTCCTGACACTGTATATTCATGGTACATGGTAGCCACTCAGCAGAAGTTCTATATACCTTGAGGCTATTTCGTTTTTTTTTTTTTAGTTAGAGTCTCACTCTGTTGCCCAAGATGGAGTGCAGTGGCACGCTCACAGCTATTGCAGCCTTGACCTCCTGGGCTTGGGCGATCCTTCCACCTCAGCCTTTCAAGTAGCTGGAACTATAGGCATGCACTACGATACCCAGCTATTTATTATTATTATTATTATTATTGTAGAGATAAGGTCTCACCAGGTTGCCCAGGCTGGCCTTGAACCGATGGGCTCAGGCAATCCTCTCACCTTGACTTCCCACAGTGCTGGGATTATAGGGATGAGCCACCGTGCCCTACCCCTGGAGGTCATTTCTACACTGAGGTGGCCAGCAATCTCTATACAAAAGTGATTGTAAAACACAAACTATATTATAATAAATCCCTGATAAATGTATCCTCATAGCATGCCGTCTGACATGTGACAAAGAGAAGATAGAGTATAAATAAATGATAATATTAAACAATTTCAGTTAAAATGGTTTATTTTAGCAAATTTACAAAAGCATGTGGCAGATGAACATATTACTAGCTGCTCTCCCAGAATCTTAGAGTGCACATGCACAAGTCAGGGACAGGAGACAAGTCCTTTTCTGGGAGAGAAAGGTAGTGTTTGCATTGGAGATGAGAGGAAGGTATACTATGTTGGGAGAGCATCTGTTTTTGTTTCAAAGACTAAATCTGAAGAATGGTTGCCTGTCAAGAATGGGGTTTTCTGAAATAGATATTTGACATATTCAGGGCTTCTTTTGAAAACCGTCTTAGCCAAGCGTGGAGGCTCAAGTCTCCCAAAACTTTGGGAGGCTGAGGTGAGAGGATTGCCTGAGCCTAGGGGTTCGAGATCAGCTTGGGCAACTTGGTGAGACTTTGTCTACACAATAAACCAAAAAATTAGCTGGGTGTGGTAGTGCCTACTTGTAGTTCCAGCTACTTGGAAGGCTGAGGCAGAAGGATCACCTGAGCCCAGCAGGTTGAGGCTGAGGTGGCTGTGAACATGCCACAGCACTCCAGCCTGGGTGACAGAGTAAGACTCCAACTCAAAAAAACAAAAACAAAACCAAAAACCTTCTTATCCCAAGGGAAATTTGTCCATTGTGAATTCTGTCTTCCCCATGGAGGTCAGAACTCAAAACACCCAGCCTCTCTTGTGGCTAACATTCAGGTAGGGAACCTAGACTTTGACCACCAGACCACCTCAGTGAGATTAATTTAGAGATGAGCAAAGCAATGCTCCTACTTGGTTGGGGTAGGTGGCAGCAGGAACTGCAAAGGCAAAGTACCTGACTACAGATAGTGTCAGTGGTGGAGGCAGTAGTGAATGAGAGAGCATTGAGTTCCTGACATTTCCTGTTTGTAGGAATAGGCACCAGTGGCATCCATATCAGACCAGTTTGTTGCATGGCTTTTGGTTGCCTCTGGAAGTTTATCCTTGAGTCTATTTCTTCAACAGTTTCAAGAAGTGTCTAATTACCTTTAAGAGATTATGTTTCTGGCTGAACTAGCCAAACTGGATTTTGTTGTTTCAATAAGACTTGCACATTGTATTTTAGTATATAAAAAGTGCTCACCATAAGTGTCATAATAAAACAAATATGAAGTAAACTATAAATTCATGCCATTTTTTTTTTGAGTCGGAGTCTCACTCTGTTGCCCAGACTGGAGTGCAGTGGCATGTTGCTCATGGCCACTGCAGCCTCCACCTACTGGCCTCAGGTGACCCTTTTGCCTTAGCCTTCCAAGTAGCTGGAACTACAGGAGCATGCCACCATGTCCAGCTAATTTTTTTTTTTTTTGAGTTGGTGTCTCAATCTGTTGCCTGTACTGGCGTGCAATGGCATGCTCATGGCCACTGCAGCCTCAACCTGCTGGGTTCAAGCAATCATTCCATCTCTGCCTTCTAAGTAATTGGAACTACAGGCATGCACTACCATGTCCATTATTTTTTTTTATTTCTTGTAAAGTTGAGGCCTCGCCAAGTTGCCCAGGCTGGTCTTGAACCCATGGGCTCAGGCAATCCTCTTGCCTCGGACTCGCAAAGTGCTGAAATTACAGGCTTGAGCCACCGTGCGCAGCCTCATGCTATTTTTCAATCTACCAGATTGACAAAGATTAAAATTAGGCCTGTAAGAATTGGTATGATAAAACAGGCCCTCTTATTGGTGAGAATGCAAATTAATACAAATTTAAAAAGATAGTGTGGCAATATCTAACAAAATGTAAAATATAAGTGTATTTTGACAAACATGTTATTCTACAATTATATTATACATACGTACTTATAGGAAGCACTAAAAAGTATAATGATATGAATTTATCATCATTTGTAAATGGAGAACATTGAAATCAATGTAAATGCAGTTAGTTAAGAGCTGGTAAATACATGGTTGAACAGCCATAGAAAGGAATGATATTTATTTAAAGGGGAACGCTCTACATGAGAATCAGTAGACATATTGTTGAAGTAGAAGAGCTATGTGTGGGACAGCGAGGTTAGAATGCTACCATCTGTGGAGAGGCAATATGCAAACAGAAATGTTTGCATAGATTTGAAATACCCCTGGAAGAAGGCAGCAACCATTAACTGTGATCCCTTGGAGGAAGGCTGGGTAGAAGATACTCCAGGAGACGGTTACTTGACAAAGTATATCTGTTTGTAGTTCTTGGATTTTATTCTTTCATTCACTTGTGCAAGAAATAACTATGGCATGACAGGGGTGTGCAGAATACTGTGGCACACAGGGCATAAAGATGAACCAGAGGCGTCTCAATATTTGGAGGTTAATTGATAATGATAAAACTGATGATTACAGCATAATGTGTTAAAAGCTGGACTAAGGTTGTTCACAAGATGTTTTAGAAGCCATAGAAGAAGATACTGAAGAGGGACAGTTAGAGCAGCCTTCTGGAGAAAAGAGCAAACAGAAATTGAACTGATAGTTAGACAGCAGACTTATACACAAAGACATTTCAAACATGAAAAAAAGAAGAGGCCTAGCACAGTGGCTCACACTTGTAATCCCAGCATTTTAGGAGGTCAAGGTAAGAAGATTGCTTGAGCCCAGAAAGTTGAGACCAACCTAGGCAACATAGTGAGACTTCATTTTTAGAAAAAAATAATAAAAAAAAAAAGCTGGGCAAGGTGGCACACACCTGCAGTGGAAGTATTGCCTGAGCCCAGAATGTTGAGGCCATGATTATGCCACTGCATTCCAGCCTGGATGGAGATTCCAATGTAGGACGAGAAGGAGGAGGAGAAGAAGAAGAAAAAGAATCAGAGGTAAATTCAATAGGCATAAAACAGCCAACATTAGGAGAACTTCAAGTATTTCTGGATAAGTAGAGTTTTGGTGGGGGAAGATGTTGAAAGATAAGTTAAAGAGTTACTTAAGGCTCACTTCAAAAGTGATTTAGATGTCGGACATAATCCTCACAATAAAGGTAAATCATGAAAGTTAGGAGGTAGAAGGAAAATTATGTGTGGAGACTTAGAATGTGAATTCTGAGGTACAGCACAAGGAGTTATATTTAAACTAAGGCAAGCCACAGAAAGCCCTGAACCATGTAGAAATGAATTCAGTTGCCATTACTCAAAAATTCAAACAACAGTGCTGTAATTAATAGTTATTATTATTATTATTATCATTATTGTTTATGTAAGGTCTGGAGGTAGGCATCTCGGGGCAGATGCAGGAGCTCAATGATGTTACCAAGGAACCAAGTTCCTTTTCCTTTTTCCTCTATACTCTTGGAAAAGTTGGTTTGCTATCACATGATTTCACAGATTCCATGAATCAAGAGTCCACGTATAGTAACTGAGTCCTTTGCTCAAGGGCTCAAAAAGCTATAATAAAGGTGTTAGCTGGGCTGCAATCTCATCTGAGACTTTGAATCTTCTTCCAACTTCAATGATTGTTAGTAGAAATCAGTTCCTTGGGGCTGCATCTCTCTCAGTAAAAATTTCTCCTATTAGGTGGTTAAAATGAAGTCTTACAAAATATAACCTAATTAGTGTCTCCCCCATCATATTCACAAGCCTGCCCATACTCAAGGGGAAGGAATTATACAAGGCATGGAATTAAGGGGCAGGTATCTTGTGAGACATCACAGAATTTTACCTACCATCCCAGGATATGTATTTGTATTTTCATGGTTTTTTGTTTTGTTTTGTTTTGTTTGTTTGTTTGTCTTCTACTGGTGGTCAGTTGTAAATGCTCACTTTATTTTAGTACTTTATATATTACTCATTGACATATTTTTCCAATAATTTTTAAGATCAAATATTATTGTTAATAAGAGGTAACCCACATTCACATTCCCACTCTCATTTCTATGTCTTCTTAGCAGCTTATCAGACACTTTTAATTCAATAATAACATAAATATGAAAAAAAGAAAAAGAAAGATATTATAGTAATATTTTACAAACACAATAACAACTTTAGCAAAAACATTTTTTGTATACTAATTTTTAAATATATAAAAACAAAGTACAACAAAAATATTATTTATAGGACTATTTTCAGGTACTAAAAATGATTTAATCTCATTGGGAAAGAAGATATACTCACCCAATGAGCTAAATAACAATAAAATATTTATATTCAGCCAATAATAATGCCATTATTTAAATTTCAGCCAATAATGAACGTCAAGTCACAAGGTTGTAGATTATTAATTGTCAAGTTAATCCTATGGACAATATGAGGTTAGAGGAGAGTGTTCAAATTATTCATTGTGATAACACAAGGTACCCTAAAACTCAGTGGTTTAAAACAATAACAATTTTACTACACCTCACAAAATATGTGGGCCAGGAGTTTGGGCAGGGCTTAGCTTGGAAATTATTCTACTCTAAAGAGCATCATCTGGATCATTGTGTGGTATCAGTTGTGGAACTGTCTTGTCGGAAGGCTCCAAGAAAGGTCCCTCACAAACGTGACAGCTCACTGTTCCTTGGCCCCCCCACCCTGCATGATGTGTTACTATGCAGAGTTGTTTTAAAAAATAAAAATGGAGACCACAGTTTGGATATACCTATAGGCCAACCACCTATTCCCATAGAACTAAAACTTAAGTAATCTTCATTTCTTGAAATATAAGCTCTAACTATAAACAAAACTTAAGCTTTCCTTCTTTGTCAGTGTGATAAAATTGGCCCAATCAGCAACCAACAAAAAAACGTATACAGCTCTATTTTCCAAAAAGAAATGTAAGTTTAAAGTAGCCATGACCAATGGAAATCAATGTATTTCCTCACTGATGCTTTAGAAGCTGTGCTATAATTCTTGTGAGCTGAGTTTCTTATCACTTTCAGTTTGAAGTCTCCTGGTTTGTAAATTGTGCTTTGATATGCACAAAAACTCTTATATTTCTTTTTCACTTGATCTGCTTTTTTGGTGTCAGAAGTAAGATCCAAAGAAAACTCTTGATAACCCCTAAGGCCAGTACCCACAGAGCCCATTGTGCTCACTGCTTTCTTACCGACCACAAGGTTAAGAGTAAGTCTCTCTTAGATCTACGATCTGCTATTTGCATTTTGAGATTGTCAACTTTGTTATGTATACCTGTGCTTTGTTGAAACTTCTTGGTAAACCACCCTTCTGTCTGTAAGGGGAGAAAATGTGTTATCTCCTGGGCCTGTTACTCCTTGGGTCTTGGGGTGGCAGTAGAATTACTGAATATTAAGAATTTAGAGTAATTAGAATTCCCTACAATACATTCGTTTTAGGGAAGCTAAGGCAAAGATTCACCTGGTTCATGACTCCTTCCTTACCTCTGTCTGAAATCCCTGCTTCCCTAAGTGTGTATCTACTATGGATAAGTATCTTGTGCCTGTTTTGGAAACATGAGTGAACTTTACAAAGAATAATGTGGGACTGCAATGGCCATTTTGGGGAACTTCCAATTTAGACAAAATAGTTCATTAAGGGGGCATCCTTGAAAAGAAAGGAACAAGAACCTTTCAGAGACAATGAAATGCAGTCTTTGGTATACAGAAACTTCTAAAAAACAGAATGACTCAAAATAGCCTCTCCAAAAGAATTCTTTTTTTTTTTTTTTTTTTTCCTTAATTACATGTAATCATTTATTTAAAATAATTGTCCACGTCTTCCAATGATTTAACAGGCTGCGTTTCACTTTATCTTCCCAAACAGACAGAAATCAACGCTTACACTTTTTGTATTTTATTTTAACCACTATGTATGCTATCTTAATAACATTTTTCTTCATTAATACTAGAACCACATATATTAACCAATGAGCAGTACAGATTTAAATTATCTTTTTGGGTAGCTGTGGTGTTGTGGACAGATTCTTGGGTTTTATCTGATTCTTACAATGTGCAAGTAATAGTTTAAAAGATAAAACTCAGGCTGACTTTATAGACCTTTCTGTGAATCTCTCTGCTTCTTTTTATTCTCCACTACCTGATTATTCTGAGCCTACTAACCCCTTTGATATCTTGACTTTTCCATTTGAACCTACTCAACACTGGCTTCCTTTAAAAATTAGACCCTCAAATGAGCCAAAAGTACCTGTAACAGATGAATTTTAACCTTGGTCTTGTCCAGAACTCTGAGCCATTTTAAAAGATTTTTGTGTGATTCAAAAGGGAGCAAATCAAATTTACAGAAGAATTTAAAATTCTTCTAGGTGTCTATGATCCAAGGCTTTTGATTTGTAACAAAACGTATGATAGTAGGCACAGGAAATCATTGAAAATGGTTAGAAAAGTCTGTTGAGATAATCCTACAAAGCATGCCTTCTTTTTTTTTTTGAGTTGGAGTCACACTCTGTCACCCAGGCTGGAGTTCAGTGGCATGCTCACGGTCACTGCAGCCTTGACCTGCTGTGTTCAGATGATCCTTAGCTCAGCCTTCCAAGTAGCTGGAACTACATGCGCACGCCACCACACCCAGCAATTTATTTATTTATTTATTTGTTCGTTTGTTTATTTATTTATTTTAGAGAAGAGCCTTCACCAAGTTGCCCAGACTGGTCTTGAACCCCTGGGTTCAGGCAGTCTTGTTGCCTCAGTCTCCCAAAGTGCTGGAACTACAGGAGTGAGCCACTGTGCCCAGCAAGTATTCCTTTAAACAGGGCATAAAAACAGCCAGAAAAATGGGCCAACAATTATTAGAAGCTGTCCCTAAAATATTCCCAATGAGATAAGACTGGGCCACAATTCGATCTTGTAAACAAGAAAGAATTAATCTGCCGCAATGTATAGAATGAACCCAGAGAAAATTTTCAAACAATAGTTTAGCCTGGATGATGAGATGACTTTATCAGCCCATTTTTCTAGTGGATTGTGCACAGAAATAAGTGACTTAATAAAGAATTCTAAACTAGAATGAGAGGCAACTCCCCTAACAGAACTGCAACATCTAGTGGAATATAGTCAAAGGACATTCATTATATCACAAAAGATGCCATCAAACAAACCAATTAATGGATCTATAACAGTTGCAGGGATCTTGACCTAATTTTAAAAAACCTACTCCCAATTTTGCCCCCATTGATAAAGATATCTGTGATTACTGGAAGCAGAAGGGAGGGGGGTACATTGGCAAAAAAGACTGTCCCTTGATGAGTAAGAGGAAGCTGGAAACCGTTGCATTCTTCTCAATGTTGATGGGACTCCAAAGAGTTGCCCAGCAAGCTACTTTAAATAATCAGTGAGGAAAAACCAAACCTAAGTAGAAAAATTTGTACTGTGTTGATAAATACCAGAACAATTATTTTTCCTTTAAACTCCACCATGCTACATCAAGAAATTCCACAGAGTAATAAAAATATCTCAGTGGCGGGAGTCTGAAATTGCATTCAAAGAGTTCCTTTGTCAGAACTCCTATCACACTTGGCACTTTTTCTGAGAGTCACACCTTCTTATTATGTAATATTGCTTCTGTGAATCTCCCAGAGAGAGGTCTGTTTTCCTAATTAGAAGGCTCAATAAGATCCCCCTCTAGAGAAATGATCTTAGAAACCTGAGATTTGTCAGACACTAAAACACTGTGGGTTCCCCAGGCCCAAAGTGACTGCCCAAGAAAACTATTAAGTTCCATAAATATAGATATACATCTTTCTTAAATTTTTGACATTATATGGGATTCTTCTACAGATGTGGGAAAAATCAAAAGTATCCAACTCATCAAAATTCTGACCCTTTTAAATTGCTTCCTAAGATATTGCAACACCTTCAGAAATCTGAGGCAATATAGGAACTCATTCTGATCATATAGAACCTAATACCTTGAGGAGTAATTACCCCATG